ATAACTCTTTACCCTTGAGCTGACTTTCATGAGGCTCACGATGAACCGTAACAAGCACATTTTTGTGCCAGTATTAATGTCTCATAACATCTGAGACCAGCCATTCAGGTAGATTTATCTTCCACACTGTTATTTTCACCAGGCATCTCTTTCATTACAGTCATTTTTTTTAGTAAGAAAAGAAAAAAGAAAGAAGCCAAGAAGCAGATAAGAAAGGGAAGTAGTTAGGAAAAAGGTAAGGAAGGAAGGAAGGAAGGAAGGAAGACGGACAGAAAGAAGGAAGGAAGAAAGGAAAGAAAGAAAGACGGAAAGGAAAGCAGTGTGAAAGCGGTGTTCTTTCATTGTTGTACCTCTTGTTAGCAAGAAAGCACGCAATGATTAGAGAAAAGAAACAAGAAAGAAATTTTGGGAACAATGAAGTATGGTGGAGATGAAAAACGAAAAAGAAAAATAAGTCTGTTAAACTGACTAGCAGTGCAGACACATTTAACTGTTTTTCTCATTGTTATTTTCAATAATTGTTGAGAGAAAAGAATGAAAGACAGGAAGGAAGATGACTGTTAAACAGCTGGTCTTGTCATTTTTCATCATCAGAAAGTACAGCAATGCTATTGCAATACCAAAAAAAAAACTAAAAAAGAAAGTGCTCTCCTTTGAAGCAGTGTGGGTGAGCCCTCCCATCTGTCAAGGATGAGTTCACCTCCAAACTGACCCCTTCACCCTCTCCTCCAGTGGAGCAGACATAACCTGGCAGGCATCAGCAGTGTCAGGGCCCAGACCCAACCACCTCCAGCTCCAACCTCCACACTCCGCTCTGCCATTGGTTCCCTGCCCCCTTCCCCTCACCCACTCCAATCAGACACTTCTGAATGACACACAGAGGAGGAAGTGGGCTCGGACCCCACCCCTCCCTCTCTCTCTCTGTCTCTCTCACAGCAACAGGCCATTTTTCCTGAGCGAGCCCCTCGTCCTCTTTCTGACAGTAATGATTTCCGAGCAAGTATACTTTTCTTGCGTTAAGATTGGTTTTCATATCTCTAAGTGACATTGACAGAATGGCTGTTGTGCTTTGGGAAGGATCAGAGACAGACAGATCGCTGATATGGGCAGGGGAATAAGGATGGGGCGGCTGGGGTGCAGGCACGTGGCGAGCAAGTGGGAGGACAGGCCAGGGATGAGTGATAGAGTGAGCAGAGACAAGACTCAGACTGCACTCCACAGCCTCTGTACTTTACCATTTACGAAGTTGGAGAGGTATTTTGATAACCGGCCACAAATGTGTTTTTGTTTCATTTGGTGTGCGCAGGAATGCGTTTGTGCATTAGTCACACGCTGATAGCATATCAGCCCTAATCACTCCTGTATCGATTCATCTCTGTGGTCGGCTCTCACAGGTGCACTTTTACAAGCACGTTTTCTAACCACATCTTTAACCAGCACGTGTCTTGCCTTATACTCTCTCGTTGACTCCACCCCACCAAAAACAGAAAAACAACAATAACAACAAAAAAAAAACGTTTTTTGTTAAATTATCTTTATGTATTTATGGAAGCAATATTATAAATACACTAACATAACAGGAAGATGCAATACATAAACCTTTTTTATTGTGTGTTGTGTTCCAGATAAGTGTCTGTTTAAAGAATCAAGGCATTCACATGATCCAGGAAATGCATCATTTGGGTCTAAATAATGTTGGCTGGTCATCAATCATGTCACATGAAAGCTTCCCCAATGTGTTGTTAAATGCAAATTGTGATTTAAGGAGAAATGCGTCATATTAGAGAATTTTTTTAGTCAGAATTGTCTACAGTGGTGGTGACAGGAACCAAATGTCTGAAGAGTTTAATACCTCTTAAAGTTGTCTTACAAAAGCTATTACATGGAATGGTTTTGAATTCACTGCCTGATGCCTGAGCCATTGTTTTACAATACTTTTACAATAACATTCTGGTCTTAAACATTGTTTTAAAACTCATTTATGACGGTGGACATTGTAAGGCTTATAGTCCATAAAGAAAACTATTTTTTTCACATTTACTACTATTTTACCATTATTAGCATTACCTAAACATCACATTACACACACAAAAACTAAGAATACATGTGAAGGCTCACTGACCAATGTTGATAGCAAATAAAATGGCTTTACATACACAGACATTGTGAGCCCTCGTTCAGTTAAAAAAATCTGAATTGGCAAGTTTCTCTACATTGAACCATTTCACATCAAACTTCTTTTAATGACTGAATCTCAACAATTGAATTATGCAGAAATTTTGAAAAATCAGTGGAGTTCCCCTTTAACATACAGGGTGAGTCGATCATCAGGAACCATCCAAACGTTTATAAGACAGTTAACATAACACGACATACGTCATAGCTAATAAAAAGTGAATAAATGGTAATGATGAGATCAATCTAACATACTTTTGTGGCTCCTGACTTTTGACTCACCCTGTATTGCAGGGCGTATCACAATCTTTAAATGTAGCAATGTAATCACAGTATGATATTCTGGCTATATTGTACAGCCCAAAAATGAGCCTGAAAATCTGTCACAATAAAAAATATAGAAATAAACAGTTTATGCCTGTAGACCTTTGCATGTGTCTGTAACAGTCTTTACGAGGATCACAGCTCTGCCAAGATTCAGAATATAGCCAATGTAAGAGGGCATGGATAAAATGACTAATTCCCTTGGACTCTTGATGTTATAATTCCACCCCATTACACCAGAAATCTTCCCTCGATGGTGTAAGGCACACTGGCTTGTAGAATTAGGTTAGTGGTGCTCGACACACACCATGCCCAGAGTCCCATTCATGTCACTATTAGCCCCGGCTTGACGTCATGGTTGGCTAATGGGGGCTAAAGCCGATGCTGACTGCTGTGTGATTTGATTGCAGACAGGAGTTACAGGAGGATTACTGCCTCTTTGCTTTCTTGCGTAATGCCGCAGTTGGATGCACTCCTGGCTCTGAGCTTGTGGGGCTGGAAGGTAGTGCTGTGACTCTGGGCTCTGGGTTGCAGCTCTGTTGTTATATCCTCTTGTGTGTGTGTTTGTACTCATTTGTTTCCCTCTTCGCTGCTCTTTGACGTCTATCCCCCAACCCCCGAATGTGTCGTAGACATCGTTATCTCTGGCCAGACCTTCTCTCTTTTCTGTTTTTCTGTGTATCACATCAACTCATTGTCCCCTGGGTTTCAAACGCAAGCCGTACAGAAATTAGGCATTGCTTTCCGCATGACAAGTGGGATCTATTAGTGCACTCTCGCCCCGTGGAGCATGAGTGTGCCCGGCCCACATGGGACCCTCTCCCTGACGCCCATTGCCACACTGGGAGTGAACGCGCACACACACACACACACACACACGATCAGGCCTACACAGAGATAATCATCAAATGAGCAAACACATCACAGCACACATGTACTTGTATTTATACAGTATCAGGACATTCAGTTACATATTGTAGTTATGCATAAACAGTGTTGGGGATGTTACTAATTACTGTATATTATATATATAATTCCTGGAACTAGTAATCTCACTACTCATTACTTTACTATGTTACTCTCTAAAACCCAAACAAATCTGCACATACTGGAAACTACAAGGGACTATCCAATATTGATTTAGAATGAAAGCATGTTAAACTCCACTGTCCCTGCTTTTGAACAAGACATAGTCAGTTATGCTAGATTAAAATGAGGATGGCAAAAGCTGTTTGAAAATCTAGAAACTAGGCAGTAGAAACAATACAAAAACTGCTTCCTTAAAATAATATAAGTGAAATTTAAAGCTGCTCCTAAATGAAAAATGGCCTGTTTAGGTGAGGTTCTTCAGCGCAGGCATCTTTATCCATCAGTATTAGTGTGATCAGATGTTTCACAAGATTGATCATTGGATTTTTGCCACACCCCTCGATCATGCTGCTCTGCTTGCATTCACAATCAAAACAGCGTAGTCAGCTGCAGCACATGCATCACATACAAGGACAGGCACAGATAATCTATATAGAGGAAATGTATGTTTTTAATGGATTGTGCATAATTAATATTGTTCTCTCAGAGACATAAGAGTAACGCAAGTAATGTCATTTTTCAGTAACTGTAAAGCCATTACAAGAATTTGAACTGTGATGCAGTGCACTTTCATTACAAAAAATTGTAATTACGATACCATAACATGTTACAGTGTACTGCGTTAACCCCAACACTCTATGTCGTTAACTATTTATATATAATGAGAAATTTCCAAGCCTACGCCTAAACCTAAACATGCAGATTTGTAAAACAAACAGTGTGTAATGTCAGGACCGTTTGCTGGCCCTGTCCTTGTAGTCTAGACCTGTTTTTTCATTTCCCTACAAATTAAGGACATTTTTGTCTTGAAAATGTACAAAAACATGCACACATGCTCTCAGGCCCATACAGGATTATCGAATACACCAGTCAATAAGAGAACAAATCCATGCTGCGCTGACACTGGACTGCAGTTCTGTACTGTACAGTGCTGTGTAAGGTCAGACAGAGGTGCACTCCTAGCCAGTGGGCTTCAGTTACTGCCATAGAAAAACACTCACCGGTCTGCCTAGCATTCCACCCATGCTCCACTCTTCATTCTTTGTACATAAAGGTCAGCCATGACAGTGAGGCAATTGGCTGGTTGGTATTGCGACTGCATGCTGACCTGGTTGACCTTGCCTGGGCACAGCCTGTGGCATCACTGGGCAACTTTGTCACAGTCAACAGCAGCTTTTGGCCTCAGGTCAATGTCAGGACTGAGAGCAGCTACATTCCACAGGGCTGTGTACGCTGCAGTTTTGCTACTTTAGTCGTCTGTACAGCTTAGGATGTTACAGATAAAAGAAGTACATTAAAATTTTGCATTTCAGTTTCAATAAATATATTTAATTTTTATTACTTTATTATTATGAAGATTATGTGTTTTATAATTGTGCCTGTATTTAACCACCTTTCTCTTTCCTTTCCAGGTATTTCAGTAACAAAGAAGACACACACTTGTGAGTACTGAATGTTCTATTCAAACGATCAAATATATTTTTGCACGATTAGCCTAAAGCCACACACAATTGGGCTTTTGTGAAATCCAAGATATTTTATGGTTGTAATTTTAAAGGAAATTAAAATTCAGTGTTCAATAGTTCAACGTATAACACATTATTGTAAGTGCTGCATGTATCACCCAGCATAGGAGAGGTAAAATATACCCACAGCTGCATTTTAACTAAATCTTATAACTCATGAAACAACTCTGTAATGGCCAGTTGAAGTGACTTTGCTTCTTCAAACAGATCATATGACTGTTTTATTCCAGCCCTTTCAGACAGTGCTCTGTTGTCTGTGTTGCTTGCAACTGAAAAACAAGGATGTGGTTTGTATGTGACCTTTGTGAGGGAGGTTAAAAACTCTGCACTGCCTTTCATGCTCTAGCTCTAGGAGATAGAGATCTGCACAGAGCAGGGGAGAGTGTGGAGGACTCGACATGGTGTTCATGTGACCTTTGAAAATTCAGCAAATCTCATAGATTATATATTTTTTTTTTTCTCCAATTTTCTCCACCAAAGAGCTGTTGCAGGATGACCTGGACAGTAACCCTTAATGCAGCAAAACACTGTGAAAAATAAAGGGTTCCAGCCAGTGTAGGCCTAAAGCAATGTATGCCTTATGCATGATAAATAATCATTAAGTATCTTATCCATACACAGTTGTTAATACCAGCACTTTGAATTCCATAGAAACACCTGATCTCTTTACTCTTCACTCTTTATTGGAAGGGACACATTTTACTGTGTCTTTTCCTGTTATGCTTGAGTAAAGGTAGAGTGTTAGCCTTTCTTCCTTTTATCCAGTGGCCTACTGCTATCTTAATTAGAGCCCTGATCGGCCCTGCTTAAGCACGAGGAAGCGAAATCAAAGAGCATGTTTCAGGAGAGTGGGTTCAAAGGCACGGACACAGGCTGGACCGCACTATTTAATCTCAGTGAAAGAAATGGTAATGATGCGTGTCACAGAGTGAAAGGGGAGAGAGCGAGTGACTGAAGTGCGGCGGAGGCATGCCGGGGCCGAGGTCTTGGGTCAAAGCCATGCTGTTCGCTAGAGAGGATTCAAAGGACATGTAATGGTGGGAGGAAAAGGTCTTGTCAGTTACAAGGAGAACAGACATTTTTATAGACCGTAAAGTGCTAATGAGGGCTGGAGTCAGGCTGGCACCTTGTAACGACAGCATCTGTAGGTAGACGAGGTGTGATTGCTTATGATAGACGTGTTCTCATGTTTGTTTGCTAGTTGAGATCTGTGTTTTGCTATTGGAGAGCTACTGTAGAGCCCTGCATCACTCTTACTGGTACTTAACAGGTTAGCCTTTAATGCTGGGGCAAAAAAAGGGTCTATTCCTGCCTTTTAATCTCCTTTTCTCCATTAATAACATGATTCCTCAATGCTGTTGTTGAATTTGTTCTAATATGTAAAGAATGTGATCTAACAAAGCTAAAAATTTGTATATTTGTGTTGTAATTATGTCACAAACTACCATTTTGTGCAAACGCACATATGGATGGAAATATACTTTAGACTTCAGTCACCTTTCATTGTTATTCTAATGAAATAAATCGATTAAAAGCTCTTGGTGAACTGAATTATGTTCAGAAACTGTTGCAGTGCATCCAGTAATAAAGGCAGCATGGTGCATCTTTTATGCAGTGATAGAGAAGTCAGTAGCACACAGAAAGCTCCAGTTCCACTTGCTGATACATATGCTTGGGTTAATTGATTTATCTTTACTAGGCTGTACACATGTGGATAGGGAACCCTTTCCTGTATGAAATGGAGTGTGCATTCATGCGCACACACATATACACACACACACACTGCACACACTCCTTCAGCTCATCTTTCCACTCTTGCCTGAGTGATCAAACCCCTGGAATCAGGCCGCCAGTCCCTTCATCAATATAAATTACAGGGGCAGCTGTTGGCTGGCAGCCGCCCCTCTCTCCCTCTCGCTCGACCACCAGCTCAGCCCATAATAAGGTGAAGTCCTCTCTGGAAGATAATGGATACTTCACTCTTCCCTCTGATGACCCCTGCTATGGCCACTTCTACCTCAATTCACTGCCTTTCTCCTATCCCCTCCAGGCCTGGTTAAAGGCAAACTCCCATTGCCGGAGAGCTTGTGGTGGAGATTCAGAATAGCAGATTCATGGTGATGAAAAAAGGCTTGGCAATATGGCAAAATAGAACATTGTGATACTTGAATACATTTTATGATACGTATGTATGGCAAGATTTTGTTTTTTTAGGGGTTTGTGTACAAGTTGGAATAAACAGAATGTCTCAGCAAAGCAGTATAGTATAGTATGTTCTAAGAAAAAAAACTTTTGAAAACCTAGTAGTACATTTTTTTTTTGAGAGAGAACATTTGCAAAAATAAAGAAATTTAAGAAGGAACAGACAATTGATCTATCAAAGAACTGGTAAAAATAAATTTATTAAAGAAGATGGTGATGTAATGGTCTGCAGTTCAGTCGAGTGCTTCTTCCAAGGCAGTTTTAACAGTTAACACTGATGGTTGTTGTTTACAGTACAATCTCTCTTTTTCTGATGCATGTGGTTGTTTAGGGTTCTAGGGTTGTTGATGATATCCATGGTATAGTCAGAAAAGCATATTGTGAAGTAAGATATCATCATATTGCCCGCCCAATGAGGAAATAAATCCAGGGAAGTAGCTTCATTGATTTGTCGACATTTTGCGATGAAATTAATGGTCGAATTTTCTTAGCCATTTGAAACTGAGCAAATCTTTCAAATTGCCTCACACCATTTGACCTCGACCTTCCCAGAAACTACTTTCTCAAAGCCACAGGCAGTCCAAGAACTCCCATATAACTCTCCACACACAACAATTTACAGTTCAGTATCATATAAACTTTTACTTTGCGTTTGGAGCTGACAGATTTATTGAGCACCCTGTTTATTTAGTCCTCCACAAGGCCGTGCAGTCCTTGTCGGCAGCTGAGTCATTTCCTTAGATAAACGGTGCCGTTTTAATAGCAGGTAGAGTTTAGACAGAGTCTGGACAGGGATCAAGCTGTTGAGAGTGGGCTGATGTCTGAGGAAAGAGTGAGCTGGTAAACTATGGCTACCGTAAGGAAGTGTAATTTTAGTTGCTGCTTTCTATGACCGATTATTTATTTACACTTTCTTTACTTATGTATTTATTTACATTACACTACTGAGAAAACACAAATATATAGGCAGCAGATGATTAATTCAGCCTTGTTAAGATGTTTACTTACTATTTTAGTACATGTGGTGTGTGTTTGTAGTTATTAACTGCATGTCTGAATGCCTGTGAGAGGAGTTAGTATTGTTGTAACCTGTTGAGGAGATGACAGGACCTGGTGATAAAACGCAGAAGATGACAGTAGAAGATAGTCCAGAGCTTTATCTCTAATCTTTGCATGTGTGCTTGTGTGTATGTGTTTACACGTGCATGTTTTTCATGCATTCTGGGGACAAAATGTCCTGGCTTAGTAGGAAAACCAGAGAAAATTAGGACGAACCAATAATGTCAATGTCAACACTATAGTTCTGACTTTGTAAAATGCTTTAAAAATGCTTGGAAAAAAATTATTTTTTATGTATTTCAATTTTCCAAGTCATTTTGGGTCATTTCTTTTGGTCCATTCATCATGAAATTTACATATAATGTGAAGGGCAGCAGGCATTTTCAAACTATGTCAAAAACTGAAAAAAGTCAAGAATGGAGATACGAGGTATACACAAAATGCCAATTATTGTGTGCCTGTCTGTGTGTGTGTGTGTGCGTGTGTGGCCCTGAAGACTCTCATGGTCTGAGATTTTGGCAGGCTCATTGTGTCTCTCTCTGCTTCACTGTTGACAGATGCTGTGTGTGATTGCTGGTGGAGTGCATAGTTCACAGATAGCAGCTTCGGAACGCCTGCGTGTCTGTGTGTCCTTCAGCTGATCTAAAGTTTAAAAGCAGTTTGTGCACGTTTGTGGCTAAATTAGATACATAGATCATATCACTTATACACCTGGTGTCTAGAAATTCCATTTCCTTTGTTCATCCGCCTATTTAGCTACCGTCTCTTCTTTTACCTTCCATTTTCTGAACTGTTCTTTTGCATATATTTCAGAATCAGAAACAGAATATTTAACTTATTTAGTGTACATGATGTGCAATGTACATAATATAATACATTATAACAATATATACATTATTTCATGTGCACAATATACACTATATATGTACAGGCACAATCAAATACTAAAGTGCTTATATACATTATGAACAGCTAGAAATGTGAGCAGTTATATGTAAATCGTATTATGGCTTCGTATATACAGTGAATACAGTTATTATGTGCATTGTAATGAGGTTTTGATATGACAGACATTTTAATTTCAAAGTATTGTATTTAAGCTAAACTTAAGGTATATTATTAAACTTTAAAGTTTATGTGTTAAACTTATTTAATACTTATATTAGGGTTTTTGTTGATGAAGCTTTGTGAACAATGCTTTGGGTTCCACTTCTTTCCATAAATACAAAGTAGAATGACAATGAATGACAAGCGACAACATTTTAGTGCATCGAAATCAGCTTATATTTATATGATGCCCTGAATTTGTCAGCGGCTTCAGGTTCAGTGTGCCGAAGATGAATTGTCTCAGTATTGTGTGTGTTTTGTTATTCTGGAGAGAATTACTCTTCCTAACACATTGTTCTGCTTCTGATGTATAGTTAGTCATGGATGACAAGTATTGAGCAAATGAAGTATTTGCTTGTTTGTGCTGGAAAGGCTTGCCAGAGTGACAGCTGTAGCCGTGTTACAGGAGCTCGTCTGAATCCCACTCGGGTTAGTCAGGACCATGGGGAAGGAGAGTCATCGATCCAAGGAGAGAGAGAGAGATACAGTGTGAGAGAATGGGGAAAAGTGAGAGAGAAGCACAGTGAGGCTTTATCTGTCTCCATAGT